TTTTTTTTTCCCCTTAGTGTTGCGGTCTGTATGTTAGGGGCGATGTGTGCGCCTTCCATTGATCTGTTGTCTCTTCAGGACGACTGAAGCGTTTCTTGTGATTTTTTTTTTTTGCGCAGTTCACAGTGCGCTTTCATCAACAATCTGAAACCCAGTCCACCAGCAATGCCCGACCTCGCGAAGCATCACACCCTAGCTTGGACGAGTCTGGTGGGCAACCGATCAACCAATCATTGGATCAGTTCATCGGCTTGCCTGCAAAGTTGTCCGTGGCTGAGGTGCGCTGATCATACGTATCATCCCTTTCGAAACCGACAACCGTTCCAAACAATCACCCAATAAGCACGAAGAAAAGGACATTCACACCAAACAGGACAAAGTGAGATTTGAGGGAACGCATCGTCATATTCCAACGAGACACACCGTTCAATTGCATAGCTAGGTCGAATTGACACACTCGCAGATGATCCCATCATTGCCATCGCAGTGGCAAACAACGACCGTTCCAAACAAAAAAACAATCAGCATGAAGAAAACGACATTCACACCAATCACGAGAAAGAGAGATAAGAGGAAACGTTTCGTCACATTCCAATGGGACACACCGTTCCATTGCTAGACTCCATTCAATGAACACACTGGCAAAACCCTATCGACATCGGACTGTCGTTTTCAAAAAAGAACAATAAAAGGCGCCGCTCGTCATTCCTGGCACAGACCAACCATCGCACTGACTTCACAATGCACCTTCAAATACCCTACGAAGCCGACCTCTGTCGGAGGTCGGTTAACAGCTACCAAGCGCCTTCGGGAGACGAGATAGTGCGCTCGTGCAGCGGGGCGAAACAGGAACACAATCTACGAAGGAGCCCTCTCGTGGCGAAACCCGTCAATGCATGCAACTGTCTCTTATACACATCTAGATGTGTATAAGAGACAGGATCAAATCCCCGACGAGGAGAGGTTCGACAACAAGCAAAAGGTCGCCAGGGGAGCAGTGGAGAGAGCTTTCGGGAGATTGAAAGGGTTGTGGAGGCCGTTCCTCCGCACACACAAGACGAATATGGACACTC